GCGAAGGCATCTTCCATGCCACACTTCTGTGACCACGCCTGTCCTCACCACATGTATGTTATTCCTCTCCTGAGGGCCTTGTTAGCGCAACGCATCTATGAAACCCACATAAGCTATCATTCAGAGCTATTGCTTTAATTCCACTCAAATCTACAATTTACATGTACAAAGCTAACAATACTTTTCTCCAGTTAAACTGCAGTAATACATCAGGTTAGCAGCCACCATAATAAATATGGTTTCTACAAATGATATACCTCAAAAAAGCTCGAATACTTATTTGCTTAGTGGGTAAGTATTTACAATTACTTTATTCAAATACTTGCGCAAGAATAACAAAAAATTTTACAAATTAACACGCAGCTCACTGTCTGATCGGGTTATACATAGAAAATTCCACCTAAATTCTTTGTCATCTTTGCTTTGCCGCTCGTCACTAGTTTATTTCGTTTGATCATTGTTTATTTCCTATAATATATTTGTAAATTTTTATAGGTGACCTTGGTAACAAAAGCGGCACTTCAAAAAGCACAACCATCTCTATGCCACTCGTATAACCAAAGAACAAAAGTTTCTGAAAACAAAAGCAGAAGCTGACGTCATGTGCAGTCAAACCTGTATTAAGCGGTTACCCATGGGAAATGGCGGGGATAGAAGAGCGGAAATATAAAAACCAAAAAAACGCCATTTTATGCCATAATTGACCGTTAAATAAAAAAAAAGTTGCTCGAAAAATATATACTTACACTGATTTCGGGAGAGAAATATGGATTAAATTTTACTTCAAAGATTATTCTAAATTTCATTTGAGTGGTCCCGCTTTAAGTGACCGTTCAACGCGGACAAAAGACGATACAAACAGGCCGATGGGACTCACTCAAAGGTGACCACGACTGCTTAATAGGGGTAAGCGTCCAATAGAGGTGAAAATTACAGTGATTGAAAGGGGAAACAGATTCGGGATTTTGAAAACCGGCCGCTTAATACAGGGTGACCACCCTATACAGGTTCGACTGTAAGTTTTTCCTGAAACGATCTGTGCTTTGCAGTCTCCTTTAAAATCATTTATTTTTCGGGTAGGATAAAAAAACAACGTTCTTTTGTTGAGGACCGGGAGCGTCATTCCTTGACGCCTCCAAAAAGCGGCTGTTAATGAGACGATAAGACCGCAAGAATAACAAAAGTTTCGAAATATGAGATCAAAATTTTCATAATACTGTTCTGGATTTTGTTGAAAACTAACAAGGCAAAATATCTGACCACTACCAAACATCTATGAAAACAGCTGTAAAAAAAGTGTTGTATTTTAAAACACTTAAGCCTTTAGCAGTTATTGAAAAGTTATGCAAAGGCCGTAACTTGGAATTCTCAGGTATAGAGATGAAAAATCGATCTTAATAATGACCTTATCAAACCTTACTTAATGCTGTTAACCTGAGCTGTGATTCTGCGATTCCATCCTGAGCAGTTTAGCGTTTAAAAAATTTGTGAAAGTGTGTGTTATAACTAAGCAGTAGACCGCATTTTCCATCGGTTTACGATTTCTACGAAAGCGATCGAAAACGAATAAAGCACTTGTTAAGAGATGTGACTGTCTGCCTGCTACCAGGATGTTCGATTTTAAGTTAAACGCGTTCTTACCTTTGTTTCAATGTAACAATCAATGTAACAAACGCGAAGACTGATTAAATACTTACAACGGGCAGTGATTCGTCAGTAGGTAAGGTCTTACTATAAAGATAGGCCGTTTTACTAGGCAAAGTTTGGTTTAAATGTTTAGTTATTATCTCCTCCATATTTGGCCTGTCACCGGGTGCTTCCATCAGGCAGCTATCTACAAGGTGTCTAAATCCGTCGTCCCTTACCAACTTTACTTGGCGACGACGTTCATTAGGATTTGGCGGTTCCCTGATGCACACTTCGCAAAGAAGAACACCAAAGCTATAGACATCAACCTAAAGACAAAATTTAATTCAGAGGTATCTTAATCCGTTTCTGCTCCTTTTCTGAGGGTGGGCTATTGATATTTAAGAGCAAATCAAGCAATAAAACATCTTATCGTCAGTTAAAATTTTAAAAATGCGGAAAGAGTACTTAGGAAAACTGACTTCAAGATGCTTACCTTACAGCTGTTACATCCCGTTTCATCAACGATCTCCGGTGCACAATAAGGTACAGCGCCTGCGTAGTTACTCACGCTCTGGCGAACAAAATTGGCTGTACCATAATCAGAAACTTTTGCTCTCCATTGCTCTCCCTTTTTCCATAATAATACGTTAGCGCTACTAACGTCCCGATGGATTATGGGTTCGGGTGTGTTTTGGTGCAGGTAGTTTAGAGCTAGAGCCACATCTAGAAAGATAACGAAAACTTCTTTTCCGGTAAGTTTGTGATCTTCATATAGTTTCCTTAGGCTTGTGTCCATGAGTTCCGTTACAATGAGCGGTTTCTTATCGTCTGCCGTTGCCCCAATAAACTGCAACAAACAAGGATGGCGACATCTCGAGGCCATGTCGATTTCTCTTTCAAACAGTTGTATGTTGTAAGGAGACACAATTACATCATGCATTTCTTTTACAGCAACATCACAGCAGCGAAATTTACCCTGGACCACGCTCCCCCATGCTCCTTTTCCGAGAATTTTACGCATTAGTTGAACTTCATTTCGATTTATAACCCAGTCACGATTTTTTTTTACTTTTGGTCTCAATTGTAGCTGTTGGCTCTGAGAAGATATTTGCTCTTGCCTGAGTTCAATATTTCGCCGGTCCATCTCATTCAGTTGTGTTCTTAGATCAGAAACTGTTGCGTCTCTTTCCTCTTTAATTCTCTCTAATTCTGATACCCTCTCCTCTTTTCTATTGATTTCTCGTCTTAGGTATCTGATGGTCGCCTCTGTATCTCTTAATTCATCTCGTGCTCTCCAAAAGTTTAACCTTGTTAGTGTCTGACCCATCCCGCATATGAACTCTCTTTCTGAGTTCCTCTTCTCCTTCTCTACCAAACAAGAAAGTAAATAGCGCTCATCTAGTGCAGAATTTTGGCGTTTTAAAGCTAAAATACTTCATATTGTTTAAAAAACGACGAGAATTCCATCGAAAAGAACTAATAGAAAGGCATTAATGATCACAAATAATAATGATACTAATAATAATGACAAATGCTATGATGAAAATGATAATGAGTTTGAATGATAGAAATTTTTAAGTTTACAATCTGCACATGCCATGTGACAAAGCTTATCTGCGCAGAGGAGAGTTCACCGAAAAAAATGATTTCTGCTCTTGACGTGAAATGGTTTCTGTCAGAAGCTATTATTAAGAAACCAAAATATACCGCTTTCTTTGAGCCTTGAAACGAAAGAGCTCATTTCAAGCGCCGATCTCTTGAAATATACCTCGTTTTTTAAGTCTTTAAGCGAAACGGCGCTTGACACAGTGCAATTTACGTGAAATATGCCCCGTTCTCTGGGCCGCGAGGCGAGGCAGCTCTTTGCAAGCACAGATCAGGAGCAAGTGCAATTGACTTAAATTTCTTGTCCTTTATAAAGCTATGATGACAGCCCGCTACAAGCACGCAACCTAGCCAAACAAAATGCACAAATAAAATATAAGATTCTCGAAGTTTTCATTCGAGACAGCTCATTTCGAGCGCGCGACACAGACATTGAAGAACCACCTGACATATATCTTTCCGTTTTCTTCAATAAATTGTGATGCAGATATGTGTTCTGCACAAAAAGGCGTTATGCCTATGTAAATTAATCTATTCGTGTCCATCGGACTCCATCGGACTGTGAAAGAAGTAGAACAGGGAATACAAATCATCAAATATGTTGACTAATGATGTATTTAATCATTAG